CGCGGCTGGCGGCGTGCGAGCGGGCCGTGCTGCGGCGGCGGGCTGAGCGCTGCGGCGGGGTTTCAGTTTCATTTATGGTGAGGGCTGCTGCGGCCCCCGGTAGCTGCGTTCCGGCACCCCGGGCGGGTGTCCTTGAGGCCGTTGCCCGAGAAGCACCTGTAAGGGCGTCGGGCTGGTTCAGGTCGTCTGCGGAAATGCTCTTTCTCAGCGTGGGCCGATTTTTAGGGCTCGGGAGCGAGTGTCGTCTCAGGAGTTAGGCGTCCGTAACTGCAGATCGCTTACGTTTGTCCGAGATCGGGCGGGTACGTGTCTAAACCGAACTTTACCTCGAAAACGATTGAAACGAATCTTTGCGGAAGGAGGAGCTGCTGGGAAGCCAGCTGTATGCTTGGGAGCAGCAGTTGGCTGCGCGACAGCCCGGGACGGTGCGGGCAGGCAGCTGGCCGTTGTGAAGGAAAGCAGGAAGCGGCGAGTGTGGTTGGGATGCAGTCCTGCCGGCGGTGCAGAGCCCGCCTGGGATGGGCTTTGCCCGCACGGTGAGTGGATCGCCCCATCGCGGCAGCCTTCTGTCCTCTCTGTTTCCATAGTCTGAGAAAGAACAGGCCAGCGAGTGGGACAGTCCTGCGTCAGAGAAGTCCCGTAAAGGGTGCCTGGAAGAAGTGTTTTGCAGTTCCTTCCCGCTATCTTGCTTCCTCGTAAATACATTTTAGAAAGAAGAAGCTGTTAAGTGATTTGGCTGCTGGAGCTTGGTTTTGGGTTTTTTTTTTTCAATTGATGAGTAGCATTACTTCCAATGTATCATTGGCCCTGGATTTTTTTCCACAGTGTAGCATAGTGTGGCTTTGATGTGCACTCTTCTAAATACAGTATCATTTCTTCAAATAAAGAGAGGTCTTGACAGACCAAATCGCTAATGGCCCTTCAGTTTGTCTTTTTGGAACAATAATGGAGAAGAGGGAGGTGTCGGAGTCACTATAGTTGTTCATCAAACTGGTGACCAACTGTCTGGATTACTTGGTGGTAAGAAGCAAAACTAATTCCAGTGATGGATGTTGATGTTTTCCAGGACATGCTTTCCTGCTTTTTGTAAAGATAGAAAAGTATGAGATTACCTTGTACAAATGTTAAATGCAAATATTTTAAAATGAGTAATAGAAGCAGAGTAAATGTAGCTACTCCTGGGACATAGTGCTTCAGAATTTCTCTCTGGAATAATCCTTGATTAAAATACAATATACTTCTAAGCATCCTTTATCTCTTAACTTTAACTTTCTTTTGCCAAGAGAGGAGAAAGGTTATTGTGTAACCACTTCATTGATACTTCGGGTGCTGCATTCAGTGTCTACCACCAGTTTAGTTTCAAAAGCAGAATGCAAACTTGCATGAGTTCTGTATGATTTTTCAGTTGTTTTTAAAACAGTGGAAAAATGGGCTATAAACATTAGATGAAGGTGTGTAGATTGTTGTTAGATAACAAAAATACCAGCTTGTGATATTTTCTGCCTTCAAATAGATGTTTTGAGAATTTATTTGTTTTAAATACATTTTTTAAGTTATGAAGTCTGGTATAGCAGAGTACGCTTTATAATGACAGCAAAAACTTCAAGCTTGGGTATTTTCTTTAACGTTTGCTGAAACATTTAATTAGCCTTCTCTGCTCAGTCTCCTTAGCTGCTTTGCTTACACAACATGCTATGTGACATTATGGGAAACATGTAAATGAAAATGGCCCATGTCTTGAACAACTCCAACTGGCAAACCAGTAATTCATCAAGCATCTAAGTGTACAGTCTCCAGCCTGATTGGTTTGTTTTGAAACTATTTGACATCAAAGAAAACTCTGTGACTCTTTTGCCGGCAAGAATATACAGCTCTTTAATGAGGCAGTGTCACAGGCAAAAAGAGTTTACTGATGGGGAGCTTCAGTCAGTTTATTTATTGTCACTTCTAGTCACTGATTCTGATGTGGAATGAAAAAAAAAAAAACCAAGCAAAAGGGGAGAAAATCACGCATTGCCTCTGCAGAGGCTCTCCTTCTGCCACAGGTTACGCAGGGTCCCCTTGGTGAGGCAGTGGGTGGTGCAGGAGGTTGGATTGCTACATGGTGGTCTTTTTGTGTTGTTCTCTTTGCAGCTTAGTTAGTAGCTGTATCACAGAAAAAAATGTGTAATGGTGTGTGTACTCAAGTGTGTGTGGTCAGATTCACTGAAGAGGCAGTAACACCACTGAAGTGGTTTCAACACTGTTCTTAATTTTGCCTTCCTTTATGACCAGTTGAAATTCATCCTATGTAAGATTATGCATTTTTGAAGCAGTCATGAAATGGATTAGGAGGTGCACGCCTGGGCAATGCTGGAGAGAATTAGAGCTTAGCGCTTTCTTTGGTGCCTTTTCCTTTGCAGCTGAGGAGCAGCAGCTATGATCTTCTATCTGATGCCTCTGTGGCTTTGGTAGTTATTCTGTTGTTGTCAGATGTGTGTTCTTATGGTTGCCTGGCATAGACACTTTTTATCACTGGCATGACTGACAGTACAAAGTGTTTGGTTAAAGACATTTTCTCTCTAACTAGAGAAGGGGGCATTCTTACAGCACTGTTTTGTGCCACAGATTTTGCCAAACGTAAATACACTCTGCTCTGGCTACATGGTTGCAGAGAAGGGTTGCTATTACTCTGGTTGGAACATCTCAGTTTCAAGCTGTTCATGCAGACGGTTCCTATCTTTTATTTCCAGGTGTAAGGCCTTCTGATTTGGTTGCACTTAGGTATTGGGTTACATTATGCTACATGAGACAGTTTGTAAAGCACAGCGGAGCAGGTTTGTAGAGTTAAGACAGGGCTGAATACCCAGCCTCTGCACTATGCATGTTGGGGTAGGAGAGTACATCATACTGGTACTTAAGTCTTGTGGACTGAATGCACATAACGTATCTTGATGCACTGTAATGTAACCACTTATTAATCTCCTTCCCTCTTTCTTTCACCTCAGGAGTATTTTTGCTACTTCATAGTTGCAACAGTCTTTAAAAATAGCTATAGAGGTGATGGTCTAAATGCGACTAAATTACTTCTTTTTTTTATAGGTAAGAACAAATAATAATAACTGTGATAAGTGAGCATTAGCAACAAGAAAGCAAGGAAGTTTAACCCTAGTGAATTAAATGTCAGTTCTGTTTGTTTCTGCCAATGTAATGGAAACATCCGATAAGGTTGCTTACAGCTGGATGACAAGGCAGAGGGCAGCCAGTCACCTGCTTGAATGCCTCAAATTGCCAACGCTTTAGCTGTGCAGAACAGCCACTGGTTTCATTCTACTGTTTTGGTTTGCTGTTTTGGAACAGCCACTGGTTTCATTCTGCTGTTTTGGTCTGAGTAGCTGCCCAGAACTGGACGAGGGTGGCATAGAGATGGATGGCTGTTGAGCCTGTGTTTGCTGTATGTGAACAGTGCTTTGGACCCCTGGTGCTTGGAGGGGCAGGGATGGATGATTTGTGACTCCTACCTCACCATCTGTAATACTTTGGGGAGTCATGAGCCAGTAACTTGACAGGAATCTGGGGACTATGAGAGTGAACCTGATTTTCTGTATGAGACTGAGCCAAACAACCAAGATTGTTACTTACGGTTTGTGCGGAGCTGGATAAATTTTTAACCCAAAACTACAGTAAGGTTTGTGGGTGGAAAGGGAAAGGAATTGTCGGAAGTGAAGATCATTATAGCCACTTTCTGTACCTATAAAGACTGTTAATTTATCTCCTTAAAAGAATAGGCTGAAAAAATAGAAATATCTGTATGGTATGTCTGTATTTACTGAAGAGGGCTTGGGAAAGAAAAACAGCACAGTGCTAAGGTACTTTTGTAGCTCACCTTCTAGGTATTGATATGGTTACTTTTGAAAATTATGATCTTTTCTAGCAATAGGGCTGAACAGCCAGTGTGTTTTTCTGTATTTATTTCCTACAGTTGTTCAAAAGGCTTTTTTTTTTTTCTGTGTTGAAAGTATTGGAATCTGGAAAGAAAAGCTAGGTATGACTTGCATAAATCTTGTAATAAAAGAAAGACTCTAGTATTATGTCACTGAAACTTAAAATTGTGTAGTATTGGAGGTTGGAAGACACCTCTGAACATCTCTAATCCAACTACCCACTCTTCCCCCAGATAGGGTCAGCTGGAGCAGTTTGCTTAGGGCTGCATCCAGTCAAGCATGGGGCATGGAGATTTCACAACCTCACTGGGCAGCCTGTTTCCAGGGATTGGTTTTGTTCAAGTTTTAACTTTAACTTTAACTTTAGAATTTCCTGTATTTCAGTGTGCGCCTCTGGTCCTGTCACTGACACCTCTGAGAAGAGCCTGGCTGTGTTGTCTTTACTCCCTCCCATCAGATACTTATACACACGTTGATAAGGTCTCCCTGAGCCTTCTTGAGAAGCAGCTGAGGACCTTAGCCTGTGTGTGTTTGCTCAGTATAAATCCTAGGTCTAATCAAATTGGCCACTCTGTTAGTAACTCACCTTCACACAAAGCCAGGAAAGTAGATGTTAAGGCAGCACTTCTAAGCTTAAAGAATGCATATGAGATTTCTGATGAATTGTTCATGCTACCTTCACATGACAATAATTAGCGCACCGTTTCCTCAATTTGCAAATGATGAACTGTGGCATGTTGTTTGACAGGGTAGCATTTATAGAGTATATGAGATGAGCAGGTTGTCCCACCCATGCCCTTTTGTTCTCCTCAAAAGCTACTTCTGATTATACTAAATCACCTAAGAATCTGAAGTTCCTTATTTCAAATCTTTTATCCAGCTCTCTTCCTACATTTAAAGCACATTGTAGCTATTAGGCCTGCTCTCAGTATTTGGGAAGCAGTCAGTGCTGTTCCTGAGATTCACTTCTGGCATTCATTATTTCAGTTTTTCTTTCCTGATTTAGAGCTATCAAAATTTTGTACGTAGCCATGATGCCTTTTAGTAACAGAAGTACTATAAAGCTGTTTGATAGAGCTGGTGATTAGACTTTGGGATAGCCAAGTTTGAACACTACCATGTTTTGAAATTATGAAAACTTGATTTCCATGCAGCATTGTGTGGGCTTAAGCATTTTTCTCAAGGAAAAGGAACTAATTCTCCGAAGAAGAGTCTGTTTCTGCTTTCAGTAGCATCTTTGTTTCCCAGACTGGCAGTATAAGTGGTTTATTTTTTTAATTTGAGATGGGAGCATACTTTGTGTTCTCTGGAGGATTAAGACACTATAGGACGTTGGCAGCAAAGGGTTAAAAAGGGAATTTCACTCAGTACCAGTTAGCTTGAGTCCTGTTTCATTTCTTAATCCTTCTGTTTATAGTGTTCACATGCATTTCTCATGACTGTGATAGATTGTTAGATGTTTAATTACCTGTTTTTTCGCTTGCTTTAGCCTCAAGGAATAGGTTCACCGAGCGTCTACCATGCTGTTATAGTGATCTTCTTGGAGTTTTTTGCTTGGGGACTCTTGACAGCACCCACTCTGGTGGTAAGTGATATGCTTAAGCTTTTTCTTACTGTATGGGAAATAGGGCAGTTACTGCAAAGGCACTGAACATCTTCTGAATTCAGTGAAAATTACATATCGTAGAACTGCTCTCTTGTGCAAGTGAAAAGTTTTGTGTTTTTACATGGAATCAGGAATTTAAAATTATTTCATTAAAGCAGTGTAATGATGCAGCATAGCTGTTTATGTGCAAGCTGGCTAATGGTCAAGCTCACATGTAAATATTTTCTGACTTGAAACCAGTAAGACAGTAATGAAATTATCTTTCCTTTCAAGATCCTACAAAAAGTTGACACATTACAAATGTAAGGACAAAAACACACTTGGAATTTGGTAAAATTATGCAAGCATGTGTGTGTAGGTAGGGAGATGTGCTGTGCTTGAAACAGAAGCTTCAGAGCTCAGACCCTGTTACACCAGTCAAAGCTTCCCTATGATTAGCAAGACAGTCATACCAATGTGTTTGTACCAAATTATTTTCTAATGTAGTTTGTTGCTTTCTATTTGGATTTAATCTTTGAGAGTGGCATATGCTTACAAATTAAAAGGAGCAAAGGCTTAAAGATCTCCAAGCAAACTCCACGTAAAATGCAGTCTTGGTGCGGCTCTGTAAGCTGATGTTAACCATGAGCAGTCTCTTGGATATAAACTGCACATCCGTCACTGAATGGAATCTGCCTCACATAATACAAGTCAGACTGAGAGAGGTGCCTGTTTTAACCTGCATGTCTAGGCTCTGGTCACTGAATTGATAACACAGTAACATGTGGAGAGTCTGGTCTGAGATAATTTTCTAGGTTCTCTGTGGCGTGTTTAGATTTCAGACACAAAAGTTGGAAGACATGGATCCTTCCCAAAGTGTTGAGAGACCTGAGGTCCCTATCACGTAAAGCTAAAATCTCAAAATACCTTCCATGTGAATTAAAGATTAAATACATTATTTGTGGTGTCTTTTTTTTTTTCTTTCTCTGTATTCTATGAAAATAGAAAACTACTGTGCATGTGCCACTGTAGAAGTTGGATGCATCATGAGCAATATTTGTAGTTAATATTGTGTAAATGACAGTGTTCATATTTCTTCTCCAGGTTTTGCATGAAACCTTCCCAAAACATACGTTTCTAATGAATGGTCTGATTCAAGGAGTAAAGGTAAGGTGACAAAAATTAATCACAAGTACAATTTAAAGTGAATGGTGTGAGAAATATAGAAATTACTGTCAACTGAGAGAAGCATTCAAGAGGTTTTTCAATATAGATTTCATGGTATAAATAAAACGGGAATAAATTATTGCTAAAAAAGCAAATATGCATCATTTTACTTTTATTAAGATATTGCTTGGTCTGTACCTGCTGTTTGGGTTGAGCAAATAAAAAGGTATTTGAGTAATCCCAAATGACACACATGGTGTTAAAATTTGAGAATTTTTTTACTTGGAGCTTGTTGTTCCAGTAGGGTATTTTCAATTACTTACATTTATGTGAATTCTAAATATATAAAACACTGTTCATGAAACTGCTAGTATGACTGGATCATCTGCATTTTGTACTTTGTTTAGTTCTGAGGTAACAAATTTCAAATTTTATGTAACCAGACATGTAATAGATCAGTAATGCTTGATCATATTGCCTTTGATGCATTGTACTGTAGTCATCAACTTTAATGAAAATAGAGCCCAGGCTGCTATCAGATTGTGGTATGGTCAGCTATCGCGATTCTAACCACTTAGTTCTAACTTAAAATATTTTGTTTCATGTAGGGCTTATTATCATTCCTCAGTGCCCCACTCATAGGTGCCCTGTCTGATGTGTGGGGACGGAAGTCCTTTTTGCTGCTAACAGTATTTTTCACCTGCGCACCGATACCACTAATGAAGATCAGCCCGTGGTTAGTAAATTTTTTTCACACTAGATTTGCCATTTCTTGTCAATGTTGCTATACAATGCTTATGTTTGTAGCATTGTTGATAAAATATGGTTTGTGCTCCATGGAAAGTTGAGGCTTTAGTATTACTTCAGTGCAAAGTTGGGAGAACAGAGTCAAAGTGAAGTGGCTACCATGAGGCCAAACGACTTGATCAGAATTTTAAGAGCTGCTGGTTTTGAGCTCTGTGCTGTAGGCCCCACTTCCTACTTCAGCACATTTGCAAAAGATACTAGAATGCTATCCAGTAAACTGTGCAGGTCTTTATTGTGGCCATATTGCTCAAATACTAGCCAACTATGCAGAAATTAAAACCTTATCTAATGCTAGCTAGTGCATGGAGTAACAATTTGTAACCTTAAAACATTGCTGCAATTTTATACTTTTGTTTCTCAAGTTTTAAAATCCACCAGCTTTCATGCCGTGTGCAAGTTGGTAAGCTCTTAACTGGCATGTACGTTCCCCAGGTAGTGCGTGAGTCAGAACTGTGTTGTTGGACTACCCGCGTGCTGTACCTGAGGGTGTAGCTGAAGTAACACAGACTGCACTGATGCAGGGCAGAGCCAGCTGTTCTGGTAGCGCCGTGAGCCTTTTCAGTTTCCTTTCTGGTCACACAGATTGTTCATGGATTCTTCATCCCTTTCCTGGGAAATTGCTTGTTTCTAAATGTAGACTAATGTTTCAAATAATGAGTGCTAGTGTCTATAGCATAAAGGTAAGGCTAATGTTGAAACCTTTCAATGACCAGATTCTCAAAATACTGAAGTTCCTAATTTGCTTTGTGTCATAGGCATCTGGCTGAAGTTAGTCTAACACCCCATTTCCTAGAAGTACTTAATCACAGCAGCTTTTTGTAGATGTTACAAAATTATGCTGTTTATCTGTGTACTCAGTGCGCTAAGGAGGAACTACACAACTGTATCGAGACACGTTCGCATTGGCTTTATCCAAGTTTATCTTAACATTTATCAAGAAAAGTTGGACAAGATAATTTACTGTTGAACTGTACTTGGACTGTAAATAGAGAATTTTTGTTCTCTTTACCCATTCTAATTTTTTTACAATGCTCTTAGGTGGTACTTCGCTGTCATCTCTGTCTCTGGAGTTTTTGCAGTGACCTTTTCTGTGGTTTTTGCATATGTAGCAGACATAACCCAAGAACATGAAAGAAGCATGGCCTATGGTTTGGTATGTATTTTTTTGGCTCTGTTTCTGTGGTATTCAGTACTAAACACTTCAGTAGGTAAAGCTTTTCAAAATTGTATTTTTGTTTCTTCTGTGGCAAGCTGATTTTAGTTTGGAGTAAGGTTTTTCTGTTTAATTGTTCTTGTCATCCAGTCCTATATCTCTTGAATATTCTGCTTCTAACTTCAACAAAATACGACCATGTTAAAAGCTGTCTTTCAGACGTCTGTCTTAACAGTTACTGTCAGTGTTGATGTAATTTGAGGGGCTTCAGTTATTCCTCCATTGTTTCTCACACTAGTACTACTCTGTCATCTTTTCAAAAATCTAACCTTTTGTTCCTGGATAATTTTGGAACTGCCATGGTATATCATCTTGACTACTCCTGCTTGTGTCTTCAATCACACTGCTGTGCTTCAGTTCAGAACAAATGTAGTGAAGTAACTTGTCTGTCTTAAGTTCTTGCAACTCGCCTCCATTATCTCCTGATAACCTGCCAGATCTTGGGAGCCTCCACCGCCCCGTGTATTACGGATTAGCAGAATTACTTGTTCCATTCAAGTTACAGGATCCATTACCATATTCAGCAGGAAGAGCCAAAAGCAATGGATGTAGAACTGAATAGTTTCTTTCTGCTTGTACGCATCAGAGATTGAGATGTGTTGACAAAGTTCCTTCAGGTTTGAAGTTAACATCTTTCACAACAAGGCCAGCTGGTTAACTGAAAACTACTTTGTGAAGATCCATTGTACTCAGTTGGATTAACCAGCATATTAAATGTAATATGCCCTTGATACGTGTGATTTTTTTTCTTAACAGGCGTTGCATATTTCACTAATATGAAGATTAAATACAGCTCATCACTTCCCAGAGATATCAGCAGACTGTATAATTAAACCTAATTATGGCAGTACATGCAAGAGTGCTGTGAGCCTCACATTGCTGTCCACTTACAAAAAACCCCCCTTGTTTTCTGTGAAAAATTTTGACTATCTGAAATACACAGCTGCTACCACATAGTCACAGGAAAGAAGTTACTTTTAATCACTACCTCATTAGAATGGTTAGGCTTCTGAAAATGAGGAAAAGTGGGTAATAATACTGTTGACTTCTATCATTGAAAATCTTACCAGCCGTTATTTGTTCTAGGTTTCAGCAACTTTTGCGGCAAGTTTAGTTACCAGCCCTGCTATTGGTGCCTATCTTGGTCGAGTCTATGGAGACAGCCTGGTTGTGGTCCTGGCTACAGCAATAGCCTTGTTAGACATTTGTTTTATTCTTGTTGCTGTACCAGAATCGCTGCCAGAGAAGATGAGGCCAGCATCCTGGGGAGCACCCATTTCATGGGAACAGGCTGACCCTTTTGCAGTAAGCTATTAAAATACAAACTTTGTTACTTGTAAATGTTGAGCTTTTCAGACAGGGAAGAGAATGAATTTACTATGTTTCAGGCTTGAAAAACAAAGCTCATATTTTTTCAAGTTTAACCTTGTGTTGCTGCTAATACTTTTGCCAACGATCTTGCTAAACATGCAGGGAATGTTTTGGTACCACATAATAGCTTCATTAATTGACATGCTTTTCTGAATATGAAGATGAAATGTTTTATAATACCTTTTTATTGCCGTAGTCACTGAAGAAAGTCGGCCAGGACTCAGTTGTGCTGCTAATCTGCATAACAGTCTTTCTTTCCTACCTCCCAGAGGCAGGTCAATATTCCAGCTTCTTCCTATACCTCAGACAGGTAATTTAATGTTTTGGTATGGATTTGAACAAATGTAAATTTATAGGAAAGTTTTCAGAATTGCTGAATTAATACGGAAAGTATAAATCGCTAGTATAATTTAAAAGCTTCCAGCAGCCGACTGAAGTCGTCTTGCTGTTCTGTTTTTGTCTCTTTTTAGAGACAAAAAGAGAGAGAGATGAATGAGTTATAAAACAATTTCTTGTATTTTGTAATTATTTGCATTATTCTTGGGCTATGAGGTTCACTATGTTAAACTGTTTTTTTATTTTTTGAGGAAACCATTTACTTGGTTTCTATGCATGCCCCTTTATTTTTGTATACTTGCTTGATTTAATAGAAAAAAGAAAAACAACTTTTTTTCTAAGTTAGGGAACAGTTGAATAATACTGGTTTTCTGCATTGTGTGTTCCCCCACTGATGTTTGTGACATCATGGTACATGGTTTACAGTTAATAATCAAACTGCCTTTTTTTTTAATATAGATAATGGGATTTTCATCTGAAAGTGTTGCAGCATTTATAGCAGTCCTTGGGATTCTTTCCATTATTGCACAGGTGAGTTACTGTTGTGTATTTTTTTCATTGATTTGGTAATGTCAAAAGAGTTAAGCGTTGTGGGGAACTTGTGTAACACTGCTCGCCTTTTCTGTAGCTGTTTTTCTAAGTCTCTTAACAATTGATTAACACTCTTACTTTAACTTAGATGAAAAAACAGCTCACCAACCAGGGTTTGGTTCATTAATGTCCAAGTGTATTGTGTTGGGAAAACAAAATCCTTTGTGCATCAAAGAAGGGGTAACAGTTTGTTCATATTACTTGCTAAATGATTGCTGGTTTTTTGGTAGAGGCTCCTTGAATACTTGGCAAATACTGCTTTTGGAGAATTTTACTTGGCTTTTAAAAATAAATCTATTTATTTGCATGTATTTAACATTTAGAATAAAATGTTTTGAGGTGTTTTGTTGCTTTTTAAATTTATTTTCATGTATTTAACATTTAGAATAAAATGTTATTTTTTATCCCCCCCCCCCCTCTTCTGTCAGACAATAGTTTTGAGTTTACTTATGCGGTCCATTGGAAATAAAAATACCATCTTACTGGGCCTAGGATTTCAAATACTACAACTTGCATGGTATGGCTTTGGATCAGAACCATGGTACGTAAATTTAATTTTAATATCTAAATGATACAGTATTTTTCTGCATTTTATCCTTTACCCAAGGGAGACACTTAAGTATGTGTACATGTGTATATATACATGCATACATACATACACATGCTCCAAATGCAGAACGCTGTCCACACAAAGCAGTTACTTTGAGTCTGTATTTTTTGCAGGATGATGTGGGCAGCTGGCGCTGTTGCAGCCATGTCCAGTATTACTTTCCCAGCTGTAAGTGCACTGGTTTCACGAACTGCTGATGCTGACCAACAAGGTAGGTTTTGTCCTAATATTTTGAATTCTAGTCAAAGCATACAGTGAAGACAGACATGTCAGGGTGTTGTCATTGTGCTAGTCAGCCAGCTGGAATCTGGGCACAGAGTAGCCCATACACCTGAGCACAGGTCACAAAATGTTAAAATCCAAGTTACTTGGAAGTTGTAATAAATACGTGCGTGTCAAGTCCTGGCACAGAGGGAAAACAAACATTCAACCGGTCCCAACAGTAGCAAAATATTTAGCATACTTAATATGCTGTTCATTTTCCTCACTATTGACAAAAGTTTCTGTAGTTGTGCAGGTTGCATACGGCGCTTTCTCTCCTGTGTGAGACTGATAGCAAGGATATTGCGTACATATACTGGTCTGTGCACAAGCACAGCATGGGAAGTGCTACTCAGTGCCTATAGGGAGATGGAAAAAAAAAACTTGAATATACTATAATGCCAGTTTTTCTGTGCCCCTTGTTTATTGCTACCCATAGTGCAACACCATGTAGAGAAGCTTTCCTGCTTGCATCAGTTCAAAGGTGAATAAGTCTTATTGATCCATTAAAAAGTTAATTATATATGTATAAATAGATAGATAACAGCGTATTTCACTTTTCCTAGGTGTTGTTCAAGGGATGATAACAGGAATTCGAGGACTGTGTAATGGTTTGGGACCAGCACTTTATGGTTTTATATTCTATATATTTCATGTTGAACTGAATGAACTCCCCATGCCTGAATCACCATCAGGAGGTAGCGTGGTCACACAATACCATTTACAACAGGTAATCTTCTTTTATTTACTGATTCCAAAAAAGAAATTAGGAAGGGATTATGTGCCCACCAGTTCTTGAATATGATGCTGTATTACATTTTGTTATGCTAACTGTAAATGAAGCATGTAAAAAGAGGTTCTGAAATCAATTGGGAAGGGTTGTTGATCTGTTTGTTTTTACCTAGCTGGTATGTTTTAGTTTAGCTTTCAAATAGATACAGCTGATAGTAATTAGACAACTGATGACCCTTGTGAAGAGAATAGAATGAGGGAAGGATGGACTGATAACAACAGCATCCTGCTCTGCTCTTGTCTCCAACACTGTACTTAGCTCTCTCATATGTTTTTGTTTTGTTGTCATTTAACCAAGCACTCCGTATTTTGTTAGTTCCTAATAGATATTAATTTGTTGAGGAAACGCAGCAGCAAGAACTTGCACTAGCAAAGGAAGTTGGCAAGCATTAGTAAGAACCATGTGCTCCCTCTCCTCAATCTTAGGATGCAACATTCTTTCCCTATTTCTTCTAGAAGACTCCACATGGAGACAAATGCTGTGTTGGCTAGTGTAGCAAGAAAAAGTTCTTCCCACTCTTGAAACTTGTAACTAGCAATTGTAGTCTGTTAACATGTATCTAAAGGCTCAGTTAATACTTGGTGGTGTTACTGTTGATTGCAGAATTCTATAATTCCTGGACCCCCGTTCTTATTTGGAGCGTGCTCTGTGCTGCTGGCACTACTTGTTGCCTTGTTTATTCCTGAACACACAAACCTAAATGTACGATCCAGCAACTGGAAGAAACACTGTGGCAGTCATGGCCATCCCCACAGTCCACAAGCTCCTGGTGAAGCTAAAGAACCATTATTACAAGATACAAATGTATGACAAAAATCCAGAAAGATCTTTTGGACTTTTTTTTCATCAGCAGTTTGGGATACACATTCCAATTCCATCAAAAATGTCATTTCTTAAGGTAATCTTAAGAAGTATCTTTCTGCATGAAATCCATAGGAATTTAAAAAAAAAGGAAGTTTCTCCAAAGATGTTGCCACTGAATTAATAAGTTGCTTTTGAAAACAAACTGTTAGGTACTTGTCTCTTGCCATAAAATACTGTTACTACTAAACTTTACATTCTAGTTCAGAGACAAAAAAGAAGAGTCAAGGCATGAGCATGTGTCCTTCTGTCTCCTTAAGGTGGTGAGCTTTAATTCTAGTCATGCTAAGTCTCAATGAGACATACGAGCATCCATGTGGACCCATTCATTTTAATGTTGTAAAATCTTGGGTCAGATGATTCAAAGCCTTAATGTAAATGTACTCAAGTAGGGAGGTGGTGAATTGGTATCATTTATTTTAAAAGTCACATGGCAGGTTGTTTTTTTTAAGTTTGTACTAATATACAAATCACATGAGCACGCTTGCTGAACAGTAAAAGTTATTTTTATGTAAGTGCATTTACTCTTTCTATTTTTGAATAAACGGTAGTATCAAACACTTGTTTAAATATTAAGTGGGTGATCTGAGCCTACAACTTTTAATATTGGCTCCAAAACTCTGCTTTCCTAAGTACCGTTTATTATACCACTATCTTTCTGATGTTTGCATAATCATAAAGGACCTCAAAACTTGAATACACAGACTGAACTATAAGCTGATAGCCTTGAATATGTCCGTGTGCTATATAGTGGCCTTTGAGGACTGTCACAATAACCCTTTTGCATTACAGAGCTAATGTTTTAGTCCTAAATTTTCAGGACCCTTAGTACAGAAGAGAGCTTTATACAATTACTGATGTGAATTTCTCTAAAAGTGTATATTTTTGTGTCCAGTTGTATTATTTAAGTGTTCCTTTGTATAAATTTGTGTATAAAGTATTGTATAGGTTTAAAATGTTTTCATCTTGTGGTTATTGCTTAATGCTTTTTTACCTTTGAACATTCACCATGGTTGACCAAGAGCAAGAAAAAAAATGTAAATATACTGTTAATAAAGTTGAATATTTTAATGAATTTTTAAATAATTGTTAGTGTCTCTTAAAACCTTAATTGATGTTCTGCAGTGTATGTATGTGTGTTATACTTCAGCAGGTGGGAAAAAAGTCTGGAGTACAGGTGGAGGACTGTGTTTTCTCTGTTAGATAAGGCAGCCTTGAGCATGCTGACTAGCCCTTTGCTTAGCAGCACAGGCTGGCTGCAGCTGGCTGATTGGTTCCTTGGGCACCTAATGGAACAGGACTGCAAAAGGAATAGGTCAGTACCAAAGACCCTCAGCCTTTAGGACACTGCAGCTTCTGCCTCCCCTATGCTGCAATGTTGTTAAGGCTTCCCAGGCCCACTGCGGTTTTGTTTCATTTTAGGTTTGAATGGGACTGGGAGATCTGGAAACCTCCCACATTTGAATTACCAGCTTCCTGTTTGATAGCAGCTTATATATACTTCAAAAGAAATGAACCTGATTCGCATTAATTTACATCTACTAAAACTTAACTAGAAATAGTAGCATAAGCACAGACCTTAGAATGAGGTGGCTGCCACCTGGGGATTGTATATGCTGGTCCAGTAGCACTGCCTCGCATGGGTAATGAACAAGCTGGGAAGAAAACTCCCCCAAAATATTCACCTTACCTAATAGGACTGTTCTGGCACTTACCTCATCTTGGAATTTCAGTACAGTGGAGATGTTGGTTTGGTACTCTTAGAATTAACATTACTAATCAGAGTTTTTGATAAAAACCATTTAATACTTCCATTGAAACTTACACATGCCAAAACAAGTGAATGTACATTAACATGGTGCTGATTTATAAACAAATATACACACTTTGCACTGCAAAACAAACCACTTAAATATACAGTCCTCTGGCTGCACCTAAACAACTAAGGTAAAAGGTATGAAATATCTTTAACAACAAAAGTATGTAAATAGTAATTAAAAAAAGTCTGTGTTACAAATACTTGCATGCCCATTCTTTATTGGGACAGCAAATAAAAGATGGCACAGAATGAAGCTGTTACATGATTCTAGCATTTGAACCCAGGTAGTAAACAAGCTGAATAGACTCAGTCCACCTAAACTTGAGTGTTAAGAGTATCTTAAATTTCTGTACAGTCTTACAGTTGTAAAATATGATTAGTAAAATTAAAGTAGCTTTTAGGTGTTATGATACTTTCAATAGTTAACTGCTCAGATACTTCATCTTAAACAATGTTTTATGCATGGAGGCCTGTGGAATGTAATACTGACAGATTAATAGAAAAGTTAGGGTAACCAAGAGTAAGAATTTTAAATTATAATTTTATACTTTCAGTGAAATAATTTAGCATCTTTAATATTAATTAGATTATTTGTAAGTCCATATGCAATTCAAATAAGCTGGATCCAAAATTAAGCAGGTTTTTAAAATTAAAACTGTATGGGAGGATTTAGTGAGGCAGTCATGCTAATTTATGAGCTTGACCATTATTAAAACTGAGAGCATTGCCCAGTTCTCCAGTGCTATCTGTTTGTATCATCCTTTCTCTGAAAGGAGTCAAGAAAAGTATTCATGGAGAAATGTTCTCTCTCAGGGAATACTAGAGTGTATGTTTCATCTGTTAGAGAGCCACGCTTGTCAATTCCTATAATAAAAAACTCAATGCACTTTGGTAGGTTTTTAGGAAGACTACAGCATCTCTACTATACTAAAAGTCTGGCACAGCCCCAGTGAATGACTGACTGAACTACAGCATTGTTCCCACTAAGGCTGAGGCTGCTTAAAGCTTTTATCTTTTCTTTAGGCTCAAGTATCCTGAAAAGTCACCCAAGATACCTTTCTCAAAGAAAACAGATTCAGACTTATAAAATCACGTCAGTTCACATTGATACTTTACTAATACATTATTACAGGACATCCAAAAATTCCCCAAATAGTTAAAAGAGGACTCTTACTTTAAGAACCCTGTCTACTATCCAGGAAAATAAGCTGAGGCTGGTGTTACTGCAGCTTTTGGTGACGGTTGGGCTTTAGTTGGCAAGTACGGTTTCAGATACTCTGTAGAATAGCAGAAACAAGATACTGTTCTTAGAACCATAACTATTATTACCCTTTAAGTATATTTCAAATAAGGTCTTGTTTTACTATTTCCATACATACCTGAGTTAAGTGCATTTTGACTAAGCCCTCGTAAAGGAATGCTGTCATCTTTTTTCTTGAAATACTTTGATTCCAGCCCCAAATTATCACCAGTAGAAGTAAAAAGGCTAATTAAAATTTAAAACAAATGTAGTTAGTTAGCCATGCATTAACAACAAGTGTGGATACAGAAGAATCTTAACTTGGAAGTGGAACTAGTGCATTTCTATGAACTTTATCATTTAAAGGTAAACCATGACCAAGCAGGTTAAGAACAGTCTAGAACTAATTTTTTGACTGACCATCACTTGATAGCCTTAGATCTGTCACTAGGAGGGACAATGAACTTTTGTTCCTTGGGACCCACTCCTGAAAACTCTTCATTTGTTATCTACAAACCATACTTAATGACGAATTAAGTCTGCCACAACTTAAAATTCATTAACATATTGATGGAGAAAGGCAGGTGACAGAACTAGCTTGGTACTGGAAAAGTTTTGTTAAGTTCCAGACACACATAGAAGACAAATGGCTTTATAAAACATAATAATAAAAACAAACCCCCACACTAAAAATGCAATAGATGACACTTACTTCTCCTTATTTGCTGGATGACTAGTTGCAGTCACTATCTGAACATCTGAACATTGATTCATTTTTGAAAGCTGTGTGTTAAACTGAATCTGCAGAAACGTAAGAGTTAGAGGTTAGAGAGAACTACTCCAGATATGGTGGTCCACCAGTAAGCTTATTTAGAGAGTGAACTTTTCAGGGATTAATGTTTCTATACCTTGCATAGCACTTCTGTGCAGCAAAGCATGCAAGAATAAGCAACTTAAAACCAAGCATTAGCTATTACTAATAATAATGTTGAAGACAGAGTTTAAAAATACTAGGATATATAGTAAATATTTATGCATTTTCAGAAATATTCCAAACATTAAGCTTTGATATTTTATGCTATCACATTCTTAACCAAACAGAAGAGTCAAAGTGCCTGCCTTTGGTACTGGACATTGTGAATTGACATTTTTATTGTGTGCTGGTTCCAGAAAGTTCTGGAAGGCATACAGAGGAGAAATGGGATGACTGATTCCTGAGCTGGGAAAGGACGGTCGGTCAGGCTGTAAGAGAATAGAATACATCCATAAAGGAGAAGAACAATTCTTGAAATAATTGTTTGTAGAGATTCAAAATTCCCAGACTAACAGCTAACAACAACTACAAAGCTAATGCTCATTTGAGTCTTCCTGACAGGAAGAAAACGTCACTTTTCCAAGATTCTTCAGGAAAACCTGTAACTTTTAAGAAGTTAGACGAGTTGAGCACTCTTAGCTAATAATTCTAAGCTCATAATGAGCTACACACCCTGTAACTGATTAATATATTAGATGTACCTAGCTATAAATCAGAGACCTCTTTGCACGAATATGCCTTTCCACTACAGAATAAGAAGCTCATCAATTGCCAGGTGACAACAGGTATCCGTACACACAGGGGCAACAATGAACAAGAACCAGTAAGTCATGGTATTTAACAAAGATGATAGGTAATGTTTCCTGCCCCTTATTTTCAAGTTTCTAAATATCACTAGTAAGAGTATTCAAATAGTAGACTTTCCTTTTCAACCTATACAAAGACAATTAGTATGTAAGTTAACCTCACAACACAAAAATGCTACCTGTTTTTGTCCCTTCACCCTGCACTTCATCTTTTCCAAAATAATTTTGCATTGTTTTGTGTATTTTAATAAATAAGAGCTTAGAAAATTCTCACTTAGAAGACCAGGGCATCAAGTAGCACCCAACAGGGTATTATGTTATTACAAAAACAAACAAACAAAAAACCCCCCCCCCCCCCCCCCCCCCCCAAACACACCCACCAGAAATTATAGGGCCCAAAGAAGATGAAAG